CTTGCACCTACTACGATGACGATTGCGCAGCAAAGGTTGCCCCGACCAGCTTCATTTCAGGGTAGTCGGATCGGCAGTGTGATCCGGACACCCGTAACAGCAGAAAACCCATATTATGTGCATCGCCAACGGTGAATTCCAGGGCTGCGGCTTTTGGTGCACTTTTCAACCGCGCTGCACTCCACACTTTGGTGGCCGCCTGGTGTTGAAGTTGGGATGAGAGTTTGGGGTGTGCGCTTGGTTTGTTTTGTGCTCCTCCCTTCGACACTGATGCTTCTTGCTACTAGCTAACCCAAGTTTAATTCACCTTGAGGCCCAAACTGCCCAAACTCCTCAAAGCCGTGCTGGTGTGGATTTGAATTCTTGGGGTCGTGGGTACCTATGCTTGCCATTGCCTTCCGTTCGTTTGGCATGACTTCACATGGGATGGCCTGAAACTGTAAGGTTTCAGGTTGTGGGTTTAAGGGAGATCTCGACCCTAAACCTCAAACCTATTCTCCGAGACTTGCACGTATACCCTAAGGCCCTGTAGTTGCGTAACGGTTTCGGGGGTTCAAGGTTTAGGGTTAGGGTGTAGGGTTCAGGGTTTGGGGGGTTTCGGAGCCTGATTCCACCTAGAGCTGATTACGTTGAGCTTTCGGGGGCATTCATCCCTACTGCCGGCATCCGACGTACTTTAGGGGCCTTAGTAATTAGAATAGGGTTTTGGGCTCATTATACTGTAATTATCATAAGGACCCCCCTCCCCCCCCTCAAAAAAAAAATGATGTTAGCATTTATTCAGGCCCCCATATTAGGCATGCGAATCATTGAAGCCAGACCGTAGTTTCATTGCTCGGAGCACCGAGATCACAGACCCAAGGAGAAAGCCCAGAAGCACAAGAATAAACTGGAAACAGCTGGTGAGCCCTAAATCGTCATCGTCCCACACAGGGAGCCACCTATGAACGCCCAAACCTCATGGAAAGCTTTTTGAGTCGACTCAACATTTCATTGCATTCCATACTGTGATTGTTGTCGCAGCGGCAATGTGATTGTTTCTTGTTGTTTTTGGAGAAGTGCTTGTGGCACTCATCGTCATCACCGTCATTCTCAGAATGACCATGTTCGCCAGCATCGCCATCATCACCATCAGCCTCACCAGCTTCAATACATATCTTCATCTATGTCTCTTTCTCGATCTCCATCTCCGTCCCCATCTCTGTCTCTGTCTACCTCTGTGTAATGTTATCCTACATATGTGTATATATATGTATATATACAGATTATAATATATATATATATATACATATACATATACATAATATGTGTATATATATATATATATATATAATAGAAGTATTTAAACATGAGCCGAGGCCTCCTTCAATAACCCCAGCAAAGACTGCGTGGCGCCCACGCGGGACGAGCCACTCCGGTCCTTGCAGGCGCTCCGCTGTCTTAGCGTAAGAGCGGGGCCTAATATTAATATAGGGCCTAGTATTAATAGGGGCCTAAACTTGTAAACACTTAGAGTATAATTAGAAGAAGGTTTTGGGGTATATTATGCTATAGTTATAAGGAACGCCCACAATAGTACTGGTAATTATTTAGGCCCCTCCAGTGGTTTTTCCTTGCAAGTCCCTTATGATATGTATACTATAGTATGCCACCCTGCAACCCTATTAAGCATTACCAGTACTAGTCCTTAGGGTAGCTTGCTATAGATATACAATAATAATATACCCCAGGCCCGATTTTGTGTGGTTAGGCCCCTTTATCTGCGGGTTCGGTTTGGGTTCATGGTTTGAGGTTCAAGGTAAGGCTAGCCCGGGCCCACTCGGACCGCACAAGTCGGCTTATTGTAAAGACCAACTACCTGCCGACAACGGCCATCGGGACTCCTTGAAAGTTTAAGGGGCACTCGGGGCAAGGTGTTCGGGCAGGGTCTGCATTTAGAGTCATAGCCGTTGGGCGAAGTCGCGGCCTGGAAACTGTGCAGAAACCTACATGGGCGGGTTGGCCTTAGGAAAGCTTCAGGTTCAAGCGGTTTTTGAGAGCGACACGATTCAAGTATTCGAGGTATGCAAGGCTGCAGGATTTGGGTCTGAAGTCAAGCAAAATGAGCTACTAACTTCCGTGTCGCCTCATTGGTGATAGACGACACCATCACGGAAGTGATGATGATTAAGCTGATGGTGAAAACAGAAGAAGAAGGCAATACAAATGACGATGATGGCAGTTGGTGCTTCGTCAGTGCTAGTGCTGCAGCCCGAACCTGTCAAACTCAATCTCACAGTCAGCCCCACGGTACAAAATTTGCGGTTATCGATTGCAGTGATGACTCAAGTTGCCGTGGTGTTCGGCTTGTGAACGTGGTGCAAAGACGTTTTGGGCAGGCGCGTTGTTCGGACTGAGTTCTGTGGACCCGGCAGGACCGTCGGGTCCGTCTTCGCTGGAGCATCCTATAGAATGTTCATGCATGACGAATTTGCTAGTGTCGTAGATTGCATTCGAGCATGACTGCAGTCCCGGTACTTGTGCTTGGAATTGTGGTGTTTTGGAAGCTGCCGATCAACTCGGAGGGAAGATGGTGCGCGTGAGTGGGCGACGGGATCTCACGATCCGGGTCCTCTGCCAGGCTTGTGTGCAATCGAAACCTGAAGCCTTGTCCTTCTACGACGCCGAGAGCGAAAATTTGCGAGAGCTCGCACTCTCCGCTCTCTAGAACTGAAACCCACAGCCCACATGTAGCCTACTAGTGACTTTGAACTTGGTGCGAACAACGGCAGACTTAATGAGTATCACCGCATCAGGAACCATAATGCTTTTACTATGAAAGACTGAACCTCAATGAATGATGGACATCGTACTTTTCGTTACAACTTTATGTGTCTCAGCGTGCTCTCAGCCTCACACGTCATCCCTGCAAAGGCCATGAGCGCTTTGTGGCGTTGCGGCAGTGGTCTTCGTCGCGCTGCTTGGGATGCCGAGGACGTGCGCTCGCTACTTTCGTACTTTGCAAAGGGAGGAACATGGCATCGACTGTTCAGATTCAACCCTTCAAACTCACTGGAAGACCGTCTGCAACGATCTTGAAAGCCAACCATTTGGCAAATGATAATGCCGAAGCAGTACTAGCAGTCGCCGTACTTGTAAGAGCAGCAGCCGAATGCTAACCATGCCAATGGTCATGCTGATGCGAGGTTGTGGTAAAAGGTCACGGCAGAGCAGTCAAAACGAAGACAGTCAAATGCTAGTGTCAACAACAACAACGACGACAACGATAACACAACAGTACTGCAGAATGGTAAACAGATAGCAGTTGCAGCAGTAGCCAGTAGCAGCAGCAGGGGCAGTACTAGCAGTATTAGTAGTACTAACAGCACTAGCAGTACTACTAGTAGTAGTGGTAGTCGGTGTCGTAGTAGTAGTCGTCGTCGTTGTTGTAGTCGTAGTCGTAGTCGTGGCCGTAGCCGCAGGGGTAGGGGTAGGGGTAGGGATAGGGATAGTGGTACTGGTAGTGGTTGCTCTTTTTGCTGCTGTTGTTGATTGTGTTTTCATAGTAGCCGTAGCTGTGGCAGTGACCAGCACTTCACACGTCTCACACAATTCCACCTAAACAGCAGTAGTAGCAGCAGTAGTTGTCGTAGTAATCGTCGTCGTGGTTGTTGTTGTACCCGTAGTAAGAGTGTTTTCGTGACTCTGCGAATTACACAACATCATGCCATCACCAGGCGCTTCGTTTTCCGTCACTTGCACCTCACAGGAGTCGCTTCGCAAATTGCTGGGCCTCTCGGACAGTACGCACGGATTTGCATGGAATAAGGTGGTGTCTTTGAAAATGACTGAGGTTCTCGGAAGTTCTTTAGTCCATTATTCGACTACACAGGCTTTGCGCACGTCTTCTTGCAGGCAGAAGGACACGCATCGAAAGGTCTTCGCAAGTAGGCCTTATGAGCATCGGTTCGAACATGAAACTTTTGAAATCGACCGTTCTTAAATCCAGAACCATGGGTTGAAACCGTCGAAGACACCACTTTAACGTCTGCACCTTGGGTACTGAGGCTGCCGGGACGGAGCGGAGTCCCTGGTAAACTTGAAGGCAAACTGGCGCTGTTTCGCTTTGCATTTGGAGCAGATCTTGATATTTCACATAGGCTGGGTGCACACCACCTCATCTTCCAATGTAAACTGTTGAAATCCGTTGATCAGGAGTGTTACACATAGCTTTCTGACCTGCTTCCGTAGAGCACCGGCCGGATGGATCTCTCAGTTTAAGTTGAAGTTGTAAATGCATCTTCCGAGCTGCAGGTCTGGTACACCCCGAAGCTCTCGAACCACGACCATCACGAAACCCTGAAACCCTGGAATCCTTAAGGTTACCGTAAAAACCTGGAACCTTTAACCGCCCAAACTTTCAAACGGCAACACCCCACACTTCCAAAGCCAAGACGAAGTCGATATCCAAACTCTCAAGCCTGTGGATGTAGTGTAGTGGATTGAAGCGTGTCAGTCGATTGCATGAAGCACCGTCGCCTCAAAATGTCTACGAGCGCACGCATGATACGCATGTATCAGTGAACCACTTGACACGAAGCCTCTGAGATGGGTTTGTACACTTCACTTCGCCCCTTATGGCTGTAGGTGATATTCATGATCGCTGTACGGTGTCCACACGTCCATAGACCTGAAGCTGCAGCGAGTGTCCCAGGGCTTGAAGCCCAGACCAGTGAGAACACAGCCAGCGCGGAGATCAGGCATTTCCTTACTGTGAGGTTTTAAGGTTTGAAGAATGGCAAAGGTCCTGGAGGGCTCAAGCTGCGCGCAAGGGCAATCAAATCGCTTCGTGGCACTACGACCAAAAAGCTCAGCAGTCAGCTGTTGCAGCAGCTGTTTGCAGCAGAGCAAGCTCTCCTTGTAAGCTACGAACTCACGAGAAACAAAGCTCGCGTACCCAACCCGAAGGTCTGAATCCCAAGCCCTGAAAGCCTCGCCTACTTGTGCATGTGCCGGCTCCCATGCGGATAGATGTCGCTTTGCTCAGCGGGCGGACGGCTTCAGTGCATGTGGAATCGGAGGCTCCTCTTCTTCCACGGAGTCTTTGTGTGGCGCTCTGCACTAAACCACAAGCACCAGGCGTTAGTCCGTCAGTTCTTATTTCTTCGCCACTTTCACTGCATCTTGCTATGACACGAAACTGTAGAGGCCCCCGCTATCCCATGGACTGCTGGCAAGGGTAGTGCTCTGCTGCTGCAAGATTTCAGACAACATGGGACCCATTACTACGAAGGGTCCTGTCCGACATCTTACTTTCGTTGTTTGCCTGATTTTTTGTGATAGTCACAAGCACGGTGGTAGTTGCCTTGCTCACGAGTGCAACGTGTTTCGTGCTTGTGGTTTCTGCGGTTGACGCAGCGACAATCTTCATTGGCCTAGTCTTGCTGGTGTTGGCAATATGTGGTGCACACGACTCCCGGAGTAAGCCGCCCTCGTTGCAACGACATGAAATCTACACTGCTCTTCCTCTCTCACCACTACGATCATGCCATCTATGTATGCACGTCGACGGTGAGGTTTTGGGGGTTCTGAAAGTCAGAGGTAGTCTTTTGGGGTTGTTAGTATACAGGCTACTGTAAGCTTACTATAGGGATACTGTTTAATGTCGGATACGTTCAGGATACTTTGAGGTTGTTATAAGGATAGGATCATGTAGGTTACTGTAAGGTTTCTTCTAGAAGGAAGCGATTATGTATGGATTACTGTCAGTCTACTACACGCTTGCTCTAAGGATAGGACTATATACCTTACTAGAATCAAGTTTCAAGTATACAGGATACATCCCGGTTGCTATAGGGTCAGTACAACGGTAGGATTACATAGGTTACTATAAGGTTCCGAGAGGGATAGGAATACTTCAGGTTACAACACTGTTAGGACGAGGATAGAATTACACAGGTTACTATCAGTTTACATCTACATTCTTTACAATCACATATGTATGTGTACATGTATACGTACATATACACGCATCCAGAATATGGCTACGGTAAAGACACTACTTGGAGCCTCATGATTATGATATAGGTTACGTATAAGTATAGTTATCCTACTCATAACCCTACTTATAAGTACCCAAGAACCTCCAAGTACCAGCTGTCTGGTTCTTAGTAGGGAATTGGGGCATGGATTTTGGAAACTATTATTGGGGATCACATAGTCACTACAAAAGGGATCCATTCCCCATTCCCTACTAGTCTACTATTTTGGGAGTTCCTTCGTATAATTCTAGTAAGTTAAAATATACCCCATAACCCTATTCTAATTATTACGGTCCCTAACCTGGGAGAGATGTTGGCCCCGTTTCCGAGGCTTTGGTGCAAGAGCTGCGCCGCGAAGCAGAGCGAGAGCTTGGCTACCGCGCCCGTGCGGCAAAGCAGGTTCTGTTCAATGCAGAGGTTTGGGGCTTAGGGTTTAGGGTAAGAGAGGTTTGGCTACTACCACTACTAGCACTACTGGCACGACTACCACCAATACCACAACTACCACTACTACCACTACTAACACTACTACCACTACTCCCACTACTCCCATTACCCCCCGCTACTCCTACTGCTACTGCTACTGCTGCTCCTGCTCCTGCCCCGGCTCTTGCTGCTGCTGCTGCTACCACTACTTCTGCCACTCCTAGACCATGCAACCTCCAAAGCTGTCAAAGCCCGAAACCCTAAAGCAGTCGCAATTTGAGGATAGTGGTGGTAGTAGTGGTAGTAGTGGTAGCAGTGGTAGCAGTGGTAGTGGTGGTAGTAGCCGTAGTAGTCGTCGTAATCGTAGTAGTCGTAGTAGTCGTAGCAGTCGTAGTAGTCGTGGTAGTCGTGGTAGTCGTAGTGGTAGTGCAAGGAGCAGGAGCAAGAGCAAGAGCAGGAGTAGCAGCTGCGGTAGGCAAGAGGTACAACCAAGCCATAGACACTTTGGAGTCCTTGTGCCCATGGTCTTTGAAGCCATCAAGGCCCCACTGCCCGAACCCAAGATCTCAAAGCAACTTAGCCCTAGACCCTAAAACCTTCCAGCCCCGGAGCCCGTAAGGTGCACGTTCTCTGCATCCTGAGCCCGCAACCCGAACCACCCGACCCACCCAGCTTTCATCTTCCTGAGGGCTGAAAGGATTCGTCTCTTCCAGTGGAGACCCTCGGCCGGCGGTTTTGTTACGGAGTTCGATGAGGTTGTAACAGGTTTTATTAGGCTTGCTTGCGCGGGTTTGGAGTTTAGGATCGAGGAGTTTTAGGGGTTTGGAATTCGGAGATGTGGAGATTTGCAGTTTAGATGACCCAGAAACCCGCTCGTTCTTACACAGGCTCCTAGTATTTATCCGAGTATTGTGATGGTTTTTAAGCGAGGGTTCTCGCTCAAGTTCGTGCATTACAGTGATTGGTGTTGTGGGTTGGACCAATGGGCCTTGGTACATATCCAGAAATTCACATGCATTGGCATGGGTATGGCTTGCTGCTTCTCTGGTGACTATCAGCGAGGTGTTTGTGCTACAGTTGGCAAGTTTCTGTGTTGTATGATGTTTCCTTCGTCCTTCCATGGTCAGCTGCATTTCCGGGTCAGGCTTATTCATGAGGAGAACAGTGTACTGAAAACCGAGATTGACCCATCTGCATGCTTGCACCTACGCTTGAACCGGGTTGCTGGTTTCGGGTTCCGGGCAGCTTGTCCTTTTGGGCTTTGTTGCTTTCGATCTGTGCCTCCCACCCCTTGAGATGTAGGTTCCCAAAACAGTGCACCTAAGTGCCAAACCCAAACCCCAGGAAGCGATCTCCGAAGAGCAAACTCTGGCTGCAGCGGGAATTGCTGATGGGCAGACGCTGCACCAAAGCCCATTATGCTAAGTGCAGGTTCAGGCTTCGGGTGTGGGGTGAGTTCTTGCGGCCGGGGTGCAAGGTTATGGATTCCTCTTTCAGGGTCTTTATGCGAAGGACTCCATGATTTAGGCACTTCCGGCGCTTTGCCGGGAGCCATACACTGCATAGGTATGACGACCACAGACCAAGACATGTCTCATTTCTGCTTACAACGAAGGTTAGAGCCCAATAGTGTGTCCCACATTGTTTGAGGAAGGTATAGATACAAGTATTCACATATGTGTATAGGTATTTTTACATACAGACATAAAGATCGAAAGGTAGAGAGATAGACAGAAACAAAGAGAGACCGGCTGACAGGTCGGTAGATAGATATGGACTGTGTGTGCATGAATGCACGGTTGTACGTGTGTGTTTGTTTGTGTGTGTGCGCGCAGCTTTGCACGGAGTATGCATGGGCCAGCCCCTTTATTCCTGCGATGAGAAAGGTACGGCCTGGCCTATGACGGCGGGGGCCCCCTCTGCAACCGCTGGTCCCGAGTGCTAGCACCCTGACTACGTTGCAGTTCGCGTCTGAATTCAATATGTTCCCGAGCGTTAACTTTGGGATTATGGGGTTTCACTGTACGCACAGCCGCCAGCTTTGCTGTAGGGTTCAATTGTTATCCCTTTTGCCGAAGTCGCAAGGAAGCTACTGCAAAGGTCGGTTATGCAGGCTAAGGTCGGGGTTAGATAGTATGAGGCGGTTCCGTCGTCACTGGGTAACTCTGTCAAGCCCCTATCGCACAAAGTACCAAGAACAAGTGTGTCAGGGGTGGTGCTTGTGCTGGTGCTGGTCTTACTTGTTGTCGCTGCGTCTGCGTTGTTGGCCTTCGTCGAAAGTCTGGCTGTTCCCACTCATACAACTGCGTCGATCAGCGACGAGCGTTACTGCCAAAGTGTTATTTGTAACTTCTACGGCAAGGCAAGAGAAAAGGCACATGCGCACAGCACAATCTCGATTGACCGAGGTTGTTGTTACAGACGAGGGCACTGTGAGGACCAGTGTGTCCGTGCGTTGGGATGTTAGGGTCCCTCACCGTGGTCCACTCTTGATGCTGAGAATTAGACTAGACGTGGGTGCAACTATGGCTCGCTAAAGGGGCCTTACTATGAGTAGTCGGAGCATATTCAGAGAATTCGTTTGGCAATGGCAACGGCACAAGCCCTAAATAGCAGGATCATGTTGCAAGAACCCTCAGATAAGGTGCTGTTTTAAGTAAGCAAGCTTGCAGCGGAAGGACTTGGTGGGGCAGCCACTGGGGTCGAAATCGCGGCAGGGGCTATCAACCCCGTCTGCAGGCGGCATCCTCTTTCGATAGGAGAAAGCTCGTTAGAGTGCAGGGCTTGGATCTGTAGCTGAGGCTGCAATCTGTAGAAATTAGACTGCCGTTTTGGGATTCAGGAGCTGGGGTTTAGGAGCTTGTTTGTCGGGGTTCAGGGCCGTCAGCTCTCTATGTCTGCTAAGGGTCGGCGGATGAAACCTAGGGTCGGCCCTTAAACCTAAAGTCTGAACCTGAGTTCTCTTGGCAGTTTCGGGACCCTGACTCGGCTAAGCAGCCGAAGCCGCGCAAACTTCGTACTGCTCCGCCTGTTGTAGGACAGGCAGGAGACATGCTCCTCGTGCTAGGAGCGAATCCTTGAGAGGCCATGAGGACTCATGCGATACATCCCGGAAATGGTGATGGGTGATGATATGGCTGATGCCATGCATGGTGTGCATTTGTATCGGCAACCTCTCTCTTAGCATCTTGCGCCTTTAGGTCTTCTGCCGGGGGGTCCCAAATAGTAAGACTGCGGATCCAAATTGAACTCTTATGCAACCCCTGTGCATCTAATGTGGTGACTGAGATTACCCACTCTATGGGCTCATATTACCGTAAGGTGCCGTGATTCTTGCAGCCCCCCGCTCTAAACCTTCAGTTTGTTGATCGACACACCCCAAACCCTAAATGGGTGTTTGTCAAAATTATGGTCCCTTTTGGGTCCCTAATTATTATAATACGCCACTTATTATTTAGGGTCCCAAAAAGGGACCATAATTTTGACAACCACTCAAATGACAAACAGAACGCACAGAGTCGGAGATGTGCTCTCACAGGATGTGCGGCAGGTGGCGAGCACCAGCCGTGCCGTCGCCGTCGTTCATGGAGATGGGCGCAACTGGGACTGTGCTTACACCCTAGATTCCAAAATCCTAAACTCCAAAGTCTTGCCGGTATATCTTGAATCCGATAAATTCCTGAATCCTCGACCCGAAATTGTAAACCGTACTCCCTGAAGGGCTTCGGCTTCAGGGCTCAGGGTGTAAACGTCCTTGATGTGTGTGTGTGTGTGTGGGTGGCGAAACAAAATCGCTAGTAGGGTTAGTATAGTGGTCGGAAGAACTATCAATAGTAATGTACATATGTAAACGCATGTGTATACATATGTATATATATATATATATATTCACGTAAACAACGCGCACACACCTGTCAAGGGTTCCTTTAGCCGCAGAGTTTGAGCATTCACGATCGCAGCATTCTGGCTGATGAGAAGCGCAGGAAAGCACACCCAAGAAATGCGGCAGCACCATGATCAAAGCTAAGCGTCCTTACTTGGAGGATCATGGGACTTAGTAAGTAAGGTGATGAGTACCTTAAGTGGAGTCATAAGTAGTTATAAGCGGAGCTACCCTAATTATAACGCTAGTCACTAGGTCCCATGATCCTTTAAGTAACCCCCAACCCTCATATCACGAAGCCTCTTGAGGCCCCAAGCCCAAAACCCTTAAACTTGAATCCCGGAACCGAGAGCTCCAGTTTGAGCGCAGGAGTGACATCCTTTGGTAGCCGGGATCACGGCGCCAGTTGCAAGAAAGTTGAGGCCTCCTGAATTTAATATTTGGGGGGGGAGCCCAATAGTTAGAATAGAGTCTTCGGTGTACTTTATACTTTAATCATACTGGGATTACAAGGGGATATGATTACTGCATATTCCGACCCTTATATTCCGTTGAAGTTTCGGCGCTCTTACGTCCTAGTCTGGGTTGCTTTACGATTCTGAACAGGCTGCTATAGGGGCCTTCACTATTTCGGGTTTCCCGCGGCATCCTACATAGTTCAGAAGCTTGCACGCTCTGTGTGTCCAGATTATAGGTTTGGAAATTGGGCAAGCCTTTGGCTGGAAATCTGTAAATACAAAGGCAGGAAATTTGCAGACACAAGGGCTGGAAATTTGGAAATGGGGGATCCCAAACGGCTCCCACTTGAACAAAGTTGCCGGCATGCATCTAAGGTGAACGAGTTTATCCGGTTGAGTTGTTGCTGTAGATACAGCTTCCCTCCACGCCTTGGTGCTTCCACATTTCATGATTTGAGGTATACATTGCGAGTCCGACATGCCCAAACACAACGGTTGTATATGTCTTAGATTTCTGTTCCAGGTTGTGCAATTTAGGAGTTGCGTTTCCTGCAGAATAGGGAGTGTGGGGTTGCTTCGTACTTTGACGTGGAGGAACGGCTGGTGCACGTGGAAAAGATCGCGGCAACATCTGGGGCCTTTGCCGCCATCTGCCGTGATGGCTCTGTGGTGCCCAGGTGGCAAGCAAGACTTGTTGCTGTGAGGCTATAGATCTCATTCGTGTGTGAATGACAACTCCGGCTCTCCATCGGTCTGTTTGCTTCAGAAGATGCCCTCGAGGTGACTTGGGGCCGCCCCCAATGCGGCGCAAATAGCGTTAGCGTCCAGTCCCAGCTGCGGGACATTGTCGAAGTGTGACACTTTGCCGCCAAATGAAGGACAAACGGAGTGAGAAAGTGTGTAAGTGGGCGATCCAAAGTGCATCTCTCTCGTGGCACTTGAAATATTGTATATGTATATGTATAACTCAGTTTATGTTTACAATATACATATAACATTTAATGATGTGTCTCCTAATTATCGGTCGGATAGGTACGGATTAGGAGATCAGTTTTGCGATCGCAAGAACAGCCGTGATCATGTTGTTTCCGTGGCCATTTTGGCAATAAGCCGATCGGCACATTTCTTAAAGATCGGCGTGGGGAGCAGATAGAGATCCTGCTCTGCAGCAATGTCGTTCCCACCTGCTGGACCTTTTCATGGCCAGCAACAGCAGGCGACGATTCCCCAGTTCGGGTTGCCACGGAGGCTCCCTGCTGCCGAGGATTCGGGAACTGGGGGCTCTACAACTCGGGACACCCGCAGCTCCTCCTGCTGCCTCTGGCGACTGGGCTCAAACTGGGGCCGCGAGGATCGTCGCGGCAGCCGTTACAACCGAGGGGCTCCCGCAGCACGCAATCCCGTCGTTGTTCAGCGACCTGAGTTCGTGCAGCAGGTCGTGGGGAAGAGACGGATCCTGCGAGGAGTTCCCTCCTGGTCGTCGACAATCGCGACGATCGGATTCTCTCTCCTTTTCAAAACTGGCTTGTGGAGGAGATCATCTCCAATGCCGCTAGCTCCATCAATGTTCTGACGGAGAGGGAGCAGGTCATGCCCCGGAGCTCGGGTTACCACTGTTCGGTGTTCGCGAACAACATGCTCGATGGCATCAAGGCGGTCCTGCTGTTCAGGGACTCCCATTCGAGCAAGGCGCTTGCGCACCCGGCTTTTCAGCCTTTCACGTGGCCGGTCATGTTCAACACCTCGGCCACCTACGTCTACGTGGACGTAGAGGTCTTCAACGGCAACGAGGTCCTTTTCCACTGGGTGTTCCGGGGGTACCGTTCGGATTCCGACCTCTCGGTCCAGCAGCAGTTCTGCGACCGGGTCCTAATCAAAACCGCCAAGAAAGGCTGGTCGAGAGATTGTTTTGTTCAGATTTGTGGCCGACTCCCACGTTGCGGTCGCATGAAAAGGGGTTCGGCCGCAAGCTGTGCAGCGAGTGAGTCGAGCGGTGTAGATCGTAGAAGCTGGTCTCCTGATTATCTGGTAGGTAGGAATTAGGAGATCAGTTTTGCGATCGCAAGAACAGCCGTGATCATGTTGTTTCCGTGGCCATTTTGGCAATAAGCCGAGCCGCCCGTACCTAAAAGATCCCACCCACTCTTTGATTTCAGATACGGTCGATCGCCTCCGACAGGCCCACGACCGGGTCGGTTTGCAGGCTCTTGCCTACGGAACTCACGACGAGCTCTGTCGGCCCTGTCTAGACTGTGGGCTGTTCACAGGATGTTTTTGTGATGGAGACGGCCAAGAATGTTATGCGGCCGATCGCGTGCTGGATGAACTTTGGGCTGCCGGTCAATTCACTCCGCTCTGCACGGCCTGCGACCGTAGGCGACATGCGCCGTTTTTGTCGGAGGATCCCCTGGGTGACGCCACCTGACCATCGCGATCGCAAGCATCTGCCCGCGGGGGAAGATCCTTCCCCTGTGATTGATGGGCCGATCTACTATTCGGCTCCCGAAGGTGGTCAACCTCACCGCTCCGCCGTGTGGAGCGGGTCCTGCACCGAAGAGGCAAAAGGACCGCCTCCTGTGGTGCCTGCGGATCCGGCGCCTAGAGCGGCTCCTGCGGGCTATGGCCGGCAGATCCAGCCACGACTCCGCGTGCCAAGCCAAAAGAAGCCGAGCTCATACGTTTGCTCGGTGCTGTTTCCCTCGACGATCCGATCGAGGACTTTTAAATTTAGCGCGAGAATTTTTTCATTTGATGTGTTCGATCGGACCGATGGTGTGATCTTTGGCATGTGCCAATGCACCCTCCCGGTGATCGGCGGTCGCATGAGAAGGGGTTCGACCGCAGGTTGTTCAGCGAGTGAGTCGAGCGGTGTAGATCGTAGAATCTGATGTAAATATGATTAAGTATGTATATAGGTATATATGCATATATGTATATAAATATATACGCATGTATGTATATATGTATATATCTCCATAGGCTTATATATGTCCATATTTCTGTATTTTTCTACATGTTCACGTGGCTTCATGTATGTGTCTGTTATATGTACGTATGTATCGATGTATGTGTGCATATATGTCTGTATGTATATACATATATATATATATATACATATGTGTTCATATATGTATATGTATACGTATTTACATGTATAGATGCATTTATGTATATATGCATAAAAGCATATCTGTCTATATGTCTATATATCTGTAGGTCTACATATCTATAAAATCCCTGTTCAAAGCAACTGACCTTCCGTTCGTTGGTATCTAACCTTCTGACCTTTTCGTTTTGGGAGCCTTAAAGGGGCTTTGAAAGCAGGATTTAAAGTGAGCATTGAAGACCATGAACAGTGAACAGTGGACAGCAACAGCAGCAAAAGCAGGAGCAGCAAGCAGCCGGAAAACAGATTGCAAATTGGAATGGGGGTGGGGCAGGGCAAGCTCAAAAATGATGTCGTGAATATATTGTTGCCAGAGGGAATATACACGACACTGTTCTCTGTAGTAGTAGTAGTAGTAGTAGTAGTAGTAGTAGTAGTAGTGGCAGCAGCAGCAGGAGTAGTAGTAGTAGTAGTAGTAGCAGCAGCAGGAGTAGTAGTAGTAGTAGTAGTAGCAGCAGCAGCAGCAGGAGTAGTAGTAGTAGTAGTAGTAGTAATAGTAGAAGTGGTAGTCGTGGGTAGTAGTAGTGGTAGTGGTAGTAGTACAGTCTAAAGTGGTATAGTGGTAGTATAGAAGTAGCAGTAGTAGCAGTAGTAGTAGTAGTAGTAGTAGTCGTAGTACTAGTATTAGTCGCAGTAACGACACTGTCCCCTGTCCAATGCACGTGTGCATGTGCTCGCGCGCGCTGTTGACTGTTCCTGCACGCACTGTTGCCTATGCTCGCACACGCTGTTGCATGAATACATATAAACATATAGACTTATTAAGTCTATATGTTTATATGTATTTGTGTATGTATATACGTATATGTATGTATATGTATTTTACCTATACAGGTTAACAGATACACAGGTACATAGGTGGATTGCCAAGGTAGGCAGACCGATAGACATGGCGAGAGAAACGGACAGAGACAATACTTAGATAGAAAGAAAAATAGGTACATACATACATACCTTCAAGCATGCACACACATGCAAAAATGCATGCATGCATACATACGTACATACATGCACACACGTACGTACATACATACATACTTACATACATACATACTTACATACTTTCACTTTCGACGTTGCAGAAGTACAAGCTTCGGCGAACGAGTTGCGAACAGGCTTTCTAGCCCTCGCCACCCTCATGGAGCTTAGCTCCCGGCACTAGTGCCCTCAAGCAGAGCTCTTGCACTGCCGACTTTCTTGGTATAGAACAGTAAGTAAATATCACGATAATGGTTAGCAACAGTATCAATAGAAACTCTGTCGGCTGGCCTATTATCATCAGCAATCCACACATGTTGATCACTGGCTTCATCAAACATAATGACAGTGTAATGGCCTTGGTGCAAAGAAAGGCCCGTGTGGACCAAGGCTGCCCGCAGGCGGAACTGTACTTCACAGGTTTGCAGGCCCTCCACAAAGCAAGGCAACATCAGCTCCAACTCCGGAATCACAGCATATCTACGCTTAATGCTACGATCGCCAGCAACCTGAAAATCAAATCGCCCCAGCTGAAGCACCAAAATTTCCGGTGGTGTGACAGCTGCATGTGCATAGTCCTGTCTATGCCACTCCTGGATTAGCTCTTGCATGCCTGTACTGTACTCGGCATCAGCAGCTACTCGCTCAGGTGGCTGAATCAAGAGGGGTGCGGAGCTGCCCTGGTCAACAGTCACGTACCCATTCTCCCCCTCTGCTCTGGCTTGCCAATGCAGTGTCAGTTTGTCTGCTGCATGCGGGTGGCCATGCAGGAAGTGGCTCATGAACTCAGCACTGTCATGCTGCCTCCCGGGATTGCGCCAGTGGCGCATGGCTGCCAGCCAAAATGGTTGGCTCCACAAGTGTGTGGTCCCCTGTTGCTCAAGAAGACCCCGTAGAAACTTGAGCATAGCCCCTTGAAACAAGGCGTCCAGGCCCCCTTGGAATGTAGCCACATACATCATGCACTTCAACGTCGCGTTGGAGTAGCAGTAGTTCCCCCGGTTGCCCAGTTTGAGCTGCCTCACTTGGTGAGGGTTGCCAGTTTCTGGCCCAGTGCACTCCTGTGCATTGTTTCTGCTCGTAGGAACGTGCCTGCTGCTACCCAACATGCCGATCGCTCCAGCTGATGTAGTCGCTTCCATACCGCATGTGCTTCCTCCACTCTGTTCCCGATCTCCAGCATCATGGTCAACGTCGGGGATTGGTAGTCCGACGCCAACTTCCGGGTGGCGTGGTACCTTGCCACCACCAATTCCTTCTTGCATTTGATCAGGATTTCCTCCAGAGCTTGCCTTGTCTCCTCCACCTTGATGGGTGTGACCAAGGGGTCCAGGGAGTGGGTTTTGTTGGTGGCATCCCACTTGACTCCATTGACCATGGTGCCTTCGCCATTCATCCATCCCAGTGAAGCCGCCGTAGATCTCGCCGATGGGCTGGCCACCATCTTCTCGAACTTGTCCAGCACTGTCTGGATGAAGTGTTGGAATAGCAGGACCCTCATCGGAGACGTGAGCTTCTCCGGTTCCTTTGCCTTCGTCTCGTGCCACGTCTGTGCCAATGTATAGGTGGTCTTGGCAACACTGCTCTCCAAATGGGTCTGCATGAATATCACGAAGGCTGTGTCCTGTTTCTGGATCAGGAATTGGGCTTCGTGGCGGAGGAGCATGTTGGCCATCATGTTGAACATGGCCTTGTATTCCTCCGGCATCTCT